CTGAGCCTTGCTCCTTCCCATAGGCTCCACTCTAAAGGTAGCTCTTTTCAGACCGTTCACAGTGCAGAGAGGATTAATACAAATCAGCTGCCCTAAGCAGCAGTATATACAGAATGCATTCTGAAAGCTCAGGGATTTAATTTTACTCCCTGCTTGAATTTTACTCAAGAATTCATGAGGAAAGACATTGTTTTCTGTCTTAGTTACCCCACAGAAATTGCATACTACTGTACTACCTTACTATCTCGCCTTCTTTCACATATTTTTTTTTTCCAAATGAGAGGTAGAAGAAGATAAATGAGCGATTCAAGTTACAGACAAGAAACAGAAAGCAGAGACTTGAGGCTATTCACAGTAGGGCTCGAATTGCCTTTGTCCTCTGCCTTTCTAGTGAAATAAATTAATGTGAGATTTGCTATTCTAAAGGAAAAAATCAGTCTCAATTCTGAAAATCAGTACTTACCTCTGAGACAGGTGACATTTTGAGACATAATTTTTTCTTGATTCATTCATTGTGAGAAGTTGGGTTTTACAGAGCTCTTCATTTCCAAGAAAAAAAAAAGCTCAGCAGTCTTTTGCAGCACTATCAGGCAAAGAAAGAAATTGCCTTTGTATAGCTGGTACAATATACTTTAGCATAAGCAAATTGAACCGCAAATAGTTCCTGTCTGCGGTTTCCTTTCTTCAGGAGTCCTAATGCTAATTCTGTATTGATTAATGATATCAGAAGTCAAAATGCACAAGAAATGTACAAGCATGAGAATTTATAGCTCAGCTCTTCAGCTTAGTTGGGCTAACAGAATAATCCTCAGAATATAGTATTTATAATTCATATGCTATAGCTGTTGTACAATACAGACTAGTTGGTAAATAGTGGCAGATTCAGTATTTCAGATAAGTTTGAGGTGGTTCATTGTACTTGTTTTCCATTTTGTCCTACTGTGAGGAAAAAAGTATAAAAATGCAGTTTGATGTTGTGCCAGAAAAGCAACTGTTTTTCCTAAGATAATATGAGTATAAGCATCCATGGAGACAACGATTTTCTGATGTCTGCTAGAAACAGTGACTACATCGTGACTTTGGCAGATGGAGCTTGCTATAAGCTGTTGTTTGTAAACAAAATAGTTGTTGATGAAATGTCACCATATGTTTGTATTGTTTATATAATGTGAAACACACCATCATTTCCTCTGTTTGGAAAAATTTTCTTGGGAGATTGGGAAAAGTTGTCAGACCAATCCTGAGCAAACCAGTAAGAGATTTCTTCTGTGGGATTACAGACAAGTATTAGATAGATGTTCTTGGATGAAGAACTTGTGAAAGATGGAGCGTCCAGAGATTTGGTACCTTTTTCATTGTTTGTATGAGTTACATAGAAGAAGAATTGAAGTAGCAAGAATAGGGTTAAGAATATACATAGATTGGTTTAAAAGAAAAGAATAATTGTTACAGGTGTATAAAAAAGAACACAGAGCAAAACAACACTTCTAATCTCATTTCTTGAAAATAGGGAAGCATAACTATATTTTTTGTAGTTCAAAGATGTACCTCATTACCCTGGTGAAATATGCAAAGGGAGCATTTTCCTATGAGAGAATTAATTTGGTTATCATTATTGATTAATATGCACTAGGGTACCACGTCCATCCCATCTAGGCATGAATATACATACGATAGTCAGCACTGCAAATGTATACGTAACAGAAAGACAGTCCCAAACACAAGCAAGAAAAAATTAGGATACATTTGGAAGAAACTGTAGTTTCAATATTACTTTCTACAGACTGTGAGAATGCATATTTAGTATGTACATTGCAGACAGGCTGGAACCACAGACAGTGCATGCAATCTCTGCCATAAATCTGTGCTGAGTCATTTTATATCCCTGCTGCTTAGTCCAGAGCATGACACTCCATTTGCATGGTTTTATAGCTGCCAAAATTATTTCCCCGTCATGTCTTCAACCTCAGTGGATAGTTCAGCATTACTTTGAAATTCATGGAAGCTAGATTTACAAATACGTTGAACTTTCTGAGTTTCACTGATTTTTGGAAGGTCAGCATTTGAAAATCAGATGCTGATTCCAATTTATGAAATAGGAAATGGAGATCCAGTAGCATTTGTAACACATCCTGGAGTTAAACTAGCAAGAAAAAGGGTTTTGCCCTACTGCACTGTGAACTTGAGTTTGGCCTTATATTTTGGGGATCGTTGTCTTGGGGAGAGGGATGAGGCAGTAGAACCTGAAGGTGAAAAGATCTCAAACAGATGGATCAAGGTTTCTCAGGAGACATCTGGCAACCTCCATGTGTATTCTTGTGGTCCTTTGCCACTCATGTTGCCTATGTGCTCATGCTAGCCCAATGCTTTTTGACACAGACATGAGATCAGAATGAGGCCCCGTGTTGAAGTATGGTATGTACTGGTACGTGAACCAACTTAGGTATTAGTTTCCATTCATTTTGCAGACTCGTGCAAACTCAGACTGATGTAAAGCTTTTTTTATGATTAAATACAGTCATTAATCATGGCTAATCTCTAAAGATGGCAATTCAGGAAGTACTTTGTCACTCAGTGCTGTTTATGAAGCAGTCATTTATGGAGCTTTATTCCAGCTGAGTCCGCTGCTTGAATTATACACAGGCCACTCAGAAAGAGTTACCTAGGCAACCCTTCAATTGGTCCTTTTGTGCTCAAATTTTACCTCAGTCGTCATATTTCAAAGCTGAGCGTCCATCTCAGATTGATTTTCCCACCCCAACAGCATCTACCAGAATGGAAAAGGAATGGATTTGGTTTTTAGGAAGCAGCCCCACAAACTCCTGCACCACCCCAGAAGTCAGGCTTCAATAGATTGCAGCAGTGAAGTACAGATCATCTGCCCGCTTTGGTACAGAGCTGAAAGCTAAAGGCAAAAGCTAGTCTCTTAAGCTGCTCAGGAGCCTCTTAAGTACTGTGTGGAGTGTGACAAATTGTGCCTATGTACGTTTTAAAAATCTTTTAATGGTTATACCTATTATGAGTTGTTTACTTTACAGTCATCTTTCAATCATGCATCTTGTTTCACAAAGTGTAGGGGTTAACAAAATATTGTCTTCTGTTGACATCAACACATAACTGTCGAAGTAGCTGCAGCCTGTCAGTGTGTAAATAGGGATTTGCTTCCAGTCCCTCCGTGTCAGGTGATACAGTCACGATGGAAGAGCCTGAGCTAAGAGCTGGACTTGCTTCTGTATGTACTGATCAGTTCAGGTAGCTGAGTAGTTGAACAATTCAGGAGTTCATAACAGTAGAATAATTAAGACTGGTTCTTCAATCAAAATTAGCAGTAAGTAGAAAATGTTATGAACAATACATTCGTTTTGAACAATACATTCGTTCATTTGGTGACATTTCATCAATAACTCTTTTGCTTAGAAAAAAATGACGTGGTCATTCAAGTGACTGCTTCTTACAGCATTGTCATAATCTTTATGTAAACAATTTTAAGACAGGGCAATAAATGACAAGAAACCTGCATTATAAATCTATGGGAAGAGTAACTTGCACACTGCAGAGAGGACTGAATTTTCAATTATTATCTTTTTGCAAAAGAAGAAAACAAGAACACTACATGAAGAAGTAGTTGTATACCTCTCATGCTCTCAAACAAACACAGTTTTTACCAGGTACTCTTTTTTGGATTTCTTTAGCTTCCACTGAGCTCTCTACGAATCTTTCCACAGGCTTAACAGGGTTTGCATTACACACATCTATGTGAAAGAACCGTTTAGGCCACTTTTTCTGTTGCCTTATTCTGTGGTATAAATTAGATCCATGTGCAATTCTGGAGACATTGCCTACCTATGTTAAAAGTTAAGAAGTTATTTTAATACATATACCCAAAAGGCTTAATCATGCTTACTTTGCTTTCTTTCTGTGGCAGCCTGCGAGGGCTCCATTTTGTTAGCAGAAGCATCTCAGTTAAAAGTGTGTCAGCCAAAAGGTTTTCTGTCGTGGGAGAAGGTCCCTATACATCTATTCTGTAATAGAGATGACAGGTGAACAGCATACGATTGATATGAAAATCAGCTACAGAAATAGGAGAGGAATGTCTTTCCTTTAGTTTTAGCACCAAGTTGTTAAGAACATTGGTGCATTGTGGCTGGTCTAAACACGAGAGGCTCAGGCTGGAGAAAAGGAGAAGCCTTTTCCCCATGAGGAGAGCCCAGCGATGGAGCCGGAGCCCAGGGAGGTTGGGCCATCTCCATCCTTGGTGGTTTCACAGCTTAACTGGGCAGAGCCCTGAGCAGCCTGGTCTGACCCCCCCGCCGCGGCTGAGCAGTGGAGCCCCCCAGGTCCACTGAACTAGAACAAGTTCCTATGAACAAGAAAATACATCTATATCTATATCTATATCTATATCTCTTAAATAGTAACTTTTAAAGTTACTCACAAAAGCTTAACAAGTTAGATATATGTATACATATATATGCACATATAGATTTCTGTTTATATGCATATATATGTTTGTGTGTGTGTACATGCACACACATCTCTGTCTCTGTCTCTGTCTCCGTCTCCGTCTCTATCTCTATCTCTATCTCTATCTCTATCTCTATCTCTATCTGCATGTGGCCAGGCTTGATGCAGTTTTGATCCCCAATTATACTAGCCCACATCCCAAGGGAGAGCCTGTGGGAAGACATATCAGAGGCACAAGGTTCCCCTCCAGGAAGAAGGCACGACACTGCTCCGTGCGTCCCAGGGGACCAGCATCACTGTCAGCATAGCCACAAACGGACGTCCTCAGGCAGCCTGTGCTGCAGGGATACCTCATAGTCCGGCCAAAATCTTTTTACTGTGTCCTAGCTAATATTGCTAGGTAGGTGTGTTGTTAATGTTTTCAGACCCCATGGGTACTCACTGAAACACAGCACAGTCCTCAGGACTCCTCTTTAAAGAATCCCTAACTTCATTCATCCACTTCAATATTCTGCTCACTGCAGCTTTTCTTACAGAATGAAGAGGATGAGGACCAGCCTCTCAGCCTGGCCTGGCCTGACACCCCACGCAAGCAGCTCACCTACCTTCTTGTATTACCCATTGTTTTTCCACTGTGGGTTTCCCTCCCAGACGTCAGAAAACCTGTAAGTAACTGTTTTTGTAAGTCAGTGTGTTCTGCACAACAGGGTGGCTCTCTAGCTAAATGCCAAAAAGGGACTGTGGTGGATTTATGTAAAAAGAGAGCTAATGATCTGAAGAAGAAGTCACAACATCAGTCTTCAAATCTTCGAATGGGCAGCTGGTTTTTAATAGCTCCATAAAGATCGCCATTTGTATTCAGTAGTATTTTATGACACAAAGTGAAAGCTCTTAAAACTTCTTTGGGGCCTTCACACTGCATTTCTAGATCTCCACTGAATATCACATAAGTGCTGAGGAAGTCTGTCCATCTGCAGTGCCCTAAAGGGTATGACTAGAAAGATTTTAGACTGTCTAAATTTTCTCTGTGGTTCAAAAATAATGATACACATTTCTCTTAAATGCATGTTCTACTAGACCTTTGTCTTCTACTCGTCATCTTTTAATTTTCCTACTAGAACAAGATCCGTAAGTCCTTCCATGTGTAAAATACTTGCTAGTTTTGTCCCAAACACAGCTTGAAGTAATGTAAGACTGATTATTAAAACAAATGCATTATTGTGACAAGTTATCAAGTCTTACCACTTTTATATTCACATATACAAATAGACCTGACTGGGGAGGTTCATGGAAAGTAAAAGAAAAAAAGTCAAGAGCTGAAAAAATCCTATAGTGGTGTTTTAATCTCTTTTCCTTTCTGGATCAAAAATAGATTTAAAACTGCTGCAAGAGAGGGATGCACAGTTTATAAGGTTATAAATCAACACCCTGAATTCTTTTTTTCTCCTCACACACACTGAAAACTTGCCCATCCCACACACCGAAAACCTGCAATTCAGTGCAAGAAACAAGCTAAAATAAGACCTCTGATTTGTTTTTAGACAAAGGTTTCTCAAAGGATATAAACTGACATTTTCCCTTCTAATCTTTAAGCTCTCTTTTCTTACAGTTTTCGAACAACTCTGGTAAACATGTTTTGTTTGGTAACACAAAGAGCATACTACATGAATTTCAAGATTGTTTATGTCTGTATTTATGCCTTCCTTTTATCATTCAAAACCACTCCTGTAATTTGTTTCATAATTTGGCCCCAAATGAGCAAGTACTGCTAAGAAATAAGTACGTGCATTATTTTCAATTTAGAAAATCTGACATTAGACACATAGCCTTATCCAATATTCTGTACTGTACAAATGAGAACAGTTGTTACAATAATGGTTTTGGAAAGCAAATATCTCAATAAGTTGCATGCAACTGTGTTATGCGTGTGATTATTAACACTAGTATTGTTCACAATAGAACTGGCATGCTGACATTCTACAGCTAAAATACCCTGCTGTAACATAGCAGATAAGCACAGTTGTATATGCCAGATATGTCAATGGGCAACAGAGTTTTAAAATTTCATTCACTGAAAGGAGTGGCTTTTTATACAGATGTAAAAGACATGTAGTTTGTAATTACATGTAGTAATAACAGAAGAGGTAACAGGCTGTATCAGTATGACAAGCTGCTTACTTTGAACATTGCTGTCAAAGAATTAACCAGATGGTTGCATCAACTGTCTAACTTTTCAAGGACACTTCATTAGTGTGTTTGACTCTAAAATATTCTCACTTATGCCTGTGTGCCATCCCCACTATGCCCTTCCTAACAAAAACAAAACCCAGTATCACAGCTCAGCGTGTGCATCAGAAAACAACTTTCCATGAAATCTGTGAGGCAGAAGTTAAAACAAACCTAAAATAATACTTAAATAGATTTTGTAGGTAGGCCTACTGTCAGGGACTTGATTTGCAAGTGTGGTAATTTTAGTCAGAAACCCAAATTCTGCATCAGGATGCTCAGATTAGCATGTGGATATATAAAATGAACAGTTGTATACACTGATTTGAGAGACCATATGGAGCCTTTGACATCCTCTGTGGGTGTCCACTTTTCTTTCCTCCTAGAGTCTCTTTGCTAAAGTATATTTTATCTCCACACAATGGAGATGGTTTGACTGCATTTACTTGTACTATACCAAGCTACATTTAGCTCCATGAGACCCAGAACTCTAGAGAAATTATTTCATGTACAAGGTCTCTGATTATAAAGTTAGCAAAATCCTTACTGTCTTATTACGCTCTGGTGTACGCGTATGCATATTTATATATACTTAGAGTAGATTATGCATTAGTTCAACTAACTCTCAGCTGATTCAATACCTGACATGTTTTAATGTGTGTTTACTGCCTTAATAATACCTGGTCACATTAAGCCAGTATATATCAAAATCCTTACTATAACATCAATAATGTTGCTGGCAGTACACCAGATGTAGGTGTGCCCTTGGGGAATTTTGTATCTGACTTTTTGTTCAGGTGTTGTGAACAATAATGGGTATTTTTCCTGTACTAATAGCTTATTTCCCCAGTGGCTCTGTAAAGGCCACAAACGTAACTGTCCACCTCCTGCAGTAAGGGATATTGAAAGATTGAAAGGAAAATGATGTGACCAAGGTGGCCCAGTGGGTCGGTGCCAGATACTGAACACCATCTCTTTTGTTATAGCCATACTGCGCTGTCCATCCCTTTGTGTTACGGGCCAGAAAAATGGCTATCGGGGCTCCAGTCCTACTGTCACTGGACCCATATGGGGCAGTTCATTGTATCTCTGCAAATTCCCATTACCAATGAAGAGGCACAACTTACGTGAACTCTTGTTGCTATACGAAGATGCACAGTTACCAAGGGGACAAGGACAAGATGTTCCTGCACAGATCAGTTACAGGAGCAGGTTCTGAGTAATCAGATTTAAGCACTGTCAAGTATGAAAGGAAAATCAAAGCTTGCAATGCAGATAAATTTATGTACAAGACAAACTTATGATTAATTCAGGTTAAAGGTAAAGTAAAGATGTTGGTAATAATATTGGCTAAAATTAAGACAGTTACTTTGCTAATTATTAAGCACTCACAATCTTTCAGGACCAGGCTCTTAGAAGAAAAAAAGAAAAACCTTCATACTTGGATCATTCATGCTATTTAAAGTCCTGTTTTTCAGACACTGGCATGAAATCAATACAGAAATGTACCAAAATTGCTGATGGACAGGAACAGTACCAATCCAACCGATCTATAGTGAAACTACAAAATTCTTTCTCCTTTGTTAAAAGAAAATAGCGTATGAACTGAATGAGCCGTGGCTCTTCTTATTTTTCTGTTACCATGACCACAACAGAACCAATTGGTAATAAACTGGGCTTTCTGTCTTTACAAGGCAACCATCACAACAGCTACCAGAAAAGGTGGAGAGAAGTTTTGCTGTCTGCTGTCTTTGACTAATTCTTCTAGGAAAATGCTTGAAATTGGCAGCTCTCTATATTTCCAAGAGCTAGGGAGTTGGAGTGAGATATATCTCAAAAGAATGCTGTCATTAGTTACAAAATAAGCATGATTATTATCATACTCTGGAAATAAAATGCAGCATCTGAAAAAGAATCAGCGCACTCATTACTGCTTTTTAAAAATTTCATCTATATGCAAATCATATAGTAGCGTCTATGGAGTCCTTTCATGATTTCATCACCTGTAATATGTACAAGCTTTAAATTTTGCCCTGTTCTAATTTAAATGTTCCCCCTTTTAAAATAGGTAATTAAACTGTTAAGCCTATTAAAGTACTCTTAGTCTTCAACTGCTGCTTATTGGTTAATTTTACTAGGAGAGGATTGGCTAAAACAGACTAGGAATACACATGCTGCAAAGTTACTGACTCGTAATTCTTAGCCATCTGAATTCTGTGGGTGTCTGACTCAGGTAGGCAATGTCTTGTTATTTTGCAAGAACCATTTGGTATATATATCGCACTGACAGAGAGCTATTACTGGCCAGTACAGCTCTTGCTCAGTTTTGCGTAAGCCAATGTATGCTTGTATCTTGAGTGTTGTATAGTGATTATTCAAATTGCATTGCTATGAGGTGCTCTGTGTAGATTTTGTGACCAGCTGCAGCAAGCTTATCACTTCATCATCTCATTCTCCGTATGTGTTGCCAGAAAATCCCCGTTTTTACAAGGAAGATAAAAAATGTTGAAAGTTGAAAGAGTTGGCTACTAAGAATGGTGAAAAAGAAGTGCTAGCTGTTTAGCTTAAAAAAAGGAAATTGCTGTTTAGATTTATTTATCCCTTCCAGATAAATGAATCTAAGTTCTGCTCCCATTGGTGTCAGATCGCTATTTTAACAGCCATCTTTGTGTTCCTTTCAAATTGTCTTCCTTTTCAGACTAAGGTCTTCTGTCCCCCAATGCATGTAAAGTTTTGATTTTAAAATCGAAAGTCCATCTGAGTAGATTTAAACATTGGAAGCTCATTATCAGATTTTCTGATCTGGTAAAACCTTAGAACTTCTTTTTGAAAAAGTAACTCTGTTTGCTCTGTGAAGAGTTACGAAGCAGTTAAGAAGCAGATCAACCAAAGTACCCTGGGCAGTTCTAGAAACAGTGCTTGTGACAGTAATGGAATTTATATGAAAAGGACATTTCCAGGTGCCGTTGTGGCTATTTATGCCTATATTTCAATATAATTTAAAACACCCACTGGAATGATTTTCTTACTCCAAGAGAAGTTCAGTTATTTATTTATATTTGAGGGGGGTTGGGAGCATTGCTAAATCTGTGCCATCTTTAATGTGTTCCTGTGTATATTCCATTGTGGAGTTGTATAGCTTCTGTTAGTCAATGTTTACGAGCTCAGTTTTCAGGAGGGCATTTAGCACTATGCAAAGTGCCCACAGGGAGTGAGTAAGTGTTCTGCAGCACAGCCCACAGCTGCACCTGCTGCTAGAGCAGATATGGACCTTTTAATTGTCCCGCCCTGTAGATGAGTGTGCACAATTGCCATTGCTGACTTTACCTTTTTCCTATCAGTAATGACCTGATCTCATTCCATTTATATCAGCAGAAAGAGTCTACACAATTTCAGTGAGCTGCGGAGCAGCCTCGCTCTTTTCTGGTTCAGCTGACAAAAGACAGTGTCATTCCTGCATGACCAGCTCTAATGGCCAGCCCAATTCACTGAGCACCTCTTAGTCCACAGCAACCCATGCTGATCAATTCCCAAACAGGATGCTGTCCCATATAAATGCCTCTTGTCTCTGTTATACAAGAAAAGCTGACTGTGCAGCTCTGTAAACTCCCTAAAAAAGAGGGCTTTATCATGGCTTGAGCAAGCTGAATCGGCAAAATCCAAGTAGTATTTTCTCTCCAAAAGTCATGTTAGGGAAAGCCCTACAGTCCTGTCTCCTCCCACACCACCTAGGAGTGACCCACTGTGCAACAGGGGCACGTCCTGCAGTGGAGAGGGATACAGGCAAGGTGCACTGCCCAAAAATTCTGGAGGCCGCTGCAGAGCAAAAAGTGGAAGTGGATTTAGCGAGGACTTAACAGGAAGAGGTAGTGCAGGATCAAGCAGCAGCTAGAACAACTATTCAAAGTGTTACAACTTACTTCTACAAGCAGTTCGACTGGTTATTCATGAAAATTTGTAGATCTCTGCTAGTGGCACATCAGAAGTCATGCTAGTGGCACATCAGAAGTCATCTGGGATGAGGATCTGAGTTCAGAAGGTTGATGCCCATAAAGATTGTGGTTTCATTCAAGACTGGTAGCATTCATTCACAGTACAAATTTCATTTTAAACACTAATTTGATTTAGACAGTGATTGCCTGGTACAGTACTGCAGTCGTGTTTCCTTCCTTTAGTGGTTAACTTGATCTCTTTTTGTTACATAGATCTAGCTAGCCAATAGGAAATATGGATGGTGCAAAAGACTGGAAACAACAGAAACCAAAATAAATCATTAATCTGAATATAACCCATTCACTGGCTGCAAGAACGCTATCTATTTGATAGCGTTTGACATTAGTAAGGGAGACACTGAAACTGTAAATAAAGTTACTTTGGTGTTACACAGATTTTTTAATTTGTTGAAGGGCCTCGGAGTGTGTTTTACATGTTTTTATAACAAACTTCTCTGCAAAACAAAGCATGGCAAATATGTGCTTAATGTATCTTCTCTTCTAATTGAGAAAGTGGGTTGTCTTCCCAAGAAAAGTAAATGCCCTAATAAATGTTAGATATGTATTTTTTTAGCACTGCCATATGGCAGCCTTTGTTATACTGACTGTGAAAGGTGTTGCACAAAGTTCTTGATGTATGAATGAAAGGTATGGGTACCTATTTTAGCAATTTGAAAACATTCTTATTAATAAGCATGAAGTTATTAATAAATTTAGAAGTCAAACCACCATTCAGCTAAACACATATGCAAACTTGGCATAACAGAATACGATACAAATGACAACCCAAAACTTGCCATTCATCATACATGTTGTTAGGAGGTATTATTTTACAACTTAAGTGGTTGGAAGAATGAGGCATAGGTAAGTATATACCAGTGTAGGGAGTCAGTTTCTTACCATTCTTGACATTTATTTTGATCATCCGATGATGATCAGAATCATCCGATGATGGTCAGAACAGGTGATCAGAAAAAATGAGAGGCCACTCTCATTTTGAGAAGCAAATAAGACTACAGCACATCAGCCTTCAAAACAGGTGTTCACTGTTTCTCTTTGTTTCTGTTTCAGAGGTCAAGAAAATTTTTTCCTATCACATTTTTTGGCTCTATCAGCTGGATTGCATTTTTTTCTTACTTAATGGTCTGGTGGGCACATCAGGTAAGGAGGTGATACTGGTACAAAATACAAGCTCTGCATTGTGTTTTGCACTGTGAGAGATCATTTAGAATCAGAGTCCGTCATCTATCTCGTGCTGAGTAGTGCTTTATTTTAGGAGCTGCAACCATGGATGAAGTAAATCACTACCCAGTAAATAGAAAGTAGTTCAGAGACCTGTGGTTGTCCTGACCCCAGGACTTGATCATTCTGGTAACATCAGAGCCATCAGCAACTGCTTGTCAATACCTACGGGTTCTATTTGAGAATCTTATCTTTCTCCTGAAACATGGAAATCTGTGAAGACGAGTAATTCTCCAATCTTGCCTGTATTTTCCAAGCTAGTCAGCAAGCTCCAGGTCAATATTCCTAGTTAAACAGGTTTACAGCAGAAAACGTTTCTTCACCGCAGGACTTATTTTGCTGTTTTTGCTTAAACCCTTTTAGGTTGGAGAGACCATTGGTATTAGCGAAGAAATCATGGGATTGACTATTCTAGCTGCTGGCACATCCATTCCTGACCTTATTACCAGTGTTATTGTAGCACGCAAAGGTCTGGGGGACATGGCTGTATCCAGTTCTGTTGGAAGCAACATATTTGATATCACAGTTGGGTAAGTCCTACAGCAAGAAAATTGTGTCTATTTTAACAGGTCTTTTGTTCTTAGCATGTTGCTGTGGTTTTGCCAAGGTGTTGCCTACAACAATTTTCTGCCATTGATGCTTAAAAAGGGGAGTGATGCAAATATGCAATGGATGTTACTATTTCAAGTGCTCAGAAGTTTACAGACATTTGCGTGACAGAATTGCTACAGATTTGTTGCCTAATTCTCTCTTCGATACATTGCAGAGCTGCCCAGGCAAGTGAATTGTACTTTAAAAAGTATGCAAGAGCATTTTCCAAGACGGAATTTCTGAAGCTTTTTATGATTTTGTCAGGTTGCTGTTGTTTGCTTATGTTACCACTCATTATGCTTATACTACAGCTTTCTTTATAAATGATGATCAGGAACAATTCTGCCTCTCAGTACTGCCTCTGCAGTATTCAACATGTTTGCAGCAATAAAAACAGAATGTCATTGTCTTGTGTAGCTTGTTTAGGCTGTTGTTGCTGCCATGTGATTTTTTTATATACCTGGCAAGTCCCAAATTACAAACCAATTCTCTATTAACACAAAGGACCCTTTGTATAGCTCTGACAATGTGAAGCAACATAAAATTGAGCAGAAATGTGCTATTTACACTTTACTGCTTCATGGCAGCTCTAGGATAATGATGTGTGGTTGGAATTCAAATTCCTTTTTGACTTTTGAGACCAAGCTAGATATGGTCCAGAAATGCTGTAATCTATGCCTCAGTGTTTCAAAAATGTGCAAGAAATGTACAGACAAACTCTGTCTTTATTCCCACATTCCCATCTTCAACACTGGATAGAGGCACTGAGAATCATGCCCATGTTCTCAGTTTCTCCATCTTTGGTTGTTTCTTGCTATCACACACACAGAAGAACAGGTCTAGTCATAGTCATAGTCCCGAACAGCCTAGTCATAGAACAGGTCATGGTTTTTGCTGCTGAAAATATACCAGCAACTGCACAGGTACAAAAAGGGATCCTGAAGTTAGAGTGGATAGTAAATGGCTTTTTTACTCTGTCTGTTAGCTAATGGCAGTAGCTTTGGACACAGCAGAAAAAATGGGCCACTTTTTCCTATTAATCCAGAAGCATGAAGTGTTTGAAATAACGTCTATAAGCAGCAGACCTGCAAAATATATTGAAAACGTTATTCACTACCATGTAGCTTCAACTTAGAGCACGTACGGTGCATTACAAAACTTCTCTCTTTTGCAATGCTTTCATACTTTTCTTAAAACTATCAGTCTTCCTGCCAATGGAACTGTTGTTGTCCTGTACCAGTCTGCTAGACCTGGTATATTTACAACAGAAATGGCACAGTTGAGCTCTAGGCTGGTGTAGTTAGTACTGAGGCTATAATAAGTTATTCTCCCTTGAGCTGCTTATTCAAAGTTTGAAGCACTCTTCATGCTTTCTAAGCCTGCTAAGCTCCGATCAGTGGCTTAAATATTTAGTTCAGCTTGACATCTTCCAGAGGGAAGTTACCTCATTCTGTGGCATCAGAGATGAGAAATGCAATGACAGCAAATACAGAAATAGAAATTAAGCTGGAGTTCAGTTGAAGTTCACATTTTAACACAGGTTTATACATGAAATGTGGATCAAGGCTTTTAAGGGCCAAAATTTTGGGGGCAGTGCCTTGCAGAATGCTGGTTCTTCATGGCAAGGACATGTCTTTATGCAACCCACCCTCCTTGTCATGCAGGCTCTTGGAAAGAGAGTGGAAGTAGATTCTTCCGCAGATGGTCTGAAATCCAGAAACAAATGAAAGGGGTCTTCCTGCTCACAGACAGGATGCCAGGTGATTTGTCAGCCAAGGGAAATATAATTCGTCAATGTAACTGGTGGAAGAGTGGGGAGCCTAAATCTCATGTGTTCTCCCCAAGAACCACGAGCAAGCTGACAAATTAAGATTTATATACCTGTTAGAAGAGTTGAAACTCTTCCTGCCTCACTTTATGCAGGAAGCCTCTGGTTGTATTTTGAAGTGCCTTCAGAAACTTTCTAGTGCCCCTTTCTGCACCTCTGCAATGTCTCCAATTTATTTTTCTGTTTCTTAACAGCCTTCCTCTTCCATGGCTCCTGTATGCTGTGATTAACAGCTTTGCCCCGGTGACAGTCAGCAGCAATGGTCTGTTCTGTGCGATTGTCCTCCTCTTCATCATGCTGCTCTTTGTCATCCTCTCCATCGCTTTCTGCAAGTGGAGGATGAATAAAATCCTGGGCTTTCTCATGTTTGGGCTTTATTTTGTGTTCCTCGTTGTCAGCGTCCTGCTGGAGGACAAAGTGATCCAGTGTCCTGTCTCCATCTAGTGGAAAGTGCTGTTTCTTGAGGGAAAAAAAAAAAAAAACCACATAAATATTTATTACAAAAATACATATATCAAAATGAAACAGCGAAAAACCACAACGGAAAGCTTCTATGAGAATAACCCATGGATTTGTAAATTTCCTCTCCCTCAATTTTAGAAGAGAGAAAGAAAGAAAAGGATACAAAGGGTGGATCTCAGAGCTGAAGAATGACCGCTGCTGGACAGTGCAGTCACACGTGAAGGGCTGAGTCCAGCCCAGCTGAGGTTTTCTTTGCTGCAGAACATCCTCGCCGCTCAGTACTGGAGATGCTGCGCACGCGCGGAAACAGTGAAAGCTACTGCTTCTCCTATGCCTATGGTACATATCCGCAGACTTCTCGTTCTCTCTAGTAGTATACACAGACACACAGCGTGCTCAGTTCTTAAAGCTCTCATCTTCTAAGGGGAATGCTAATATCAGCTTTGTGGAGGCACCACCCCCCCCATACCCTGGTATGGGATTTTTCTGATAATCTGCTGAAACTCCCAAGTGGAAAGCATACACGGAGCACATGAGTCACAGGCAGGGAAGAGATTGCACATCTCTTCATATAAGTGGATTTATATGATGTGATTTCAGCAAAGCCAGGGAGTTCATCAGTGTTTTGCTCCTCTGCATCACAGGTCTGTAAAGGCAATCAACAGGATGTTAATGGTGGTTTATTACATCTTGCAAAACTCTTCAAATTCCAGGAACTCTGGCCCTTGCACTGCAGGGGCCACACTGCCTGGCCATTTTGTAACTGGTGCAGATTTTCATTGCATTCACATGCAAAGACCAGAATGGGGATATTCTTTCTTCTCTAATAGCAACACAGCATGCAGAGAGATCATACAGCTACTATGTGAACACACCATTTTTTCTATTGCAGCAATACCAACAACAGTACCAATGGCTTTTAGATGCTGTTATCATTATGAGTTTGCCTCTTAATGCCAGAAGAAAAAGACTAATTTGCTTATGCATAGTATTTCATACAGAAAATAGAAGTAGTTGTAAAGTGGCAGCCTAATTGCTGAAGTGGATATATGTTTTACAGGCTATGTTTAACTATTACTTGGAGCATAAGGACCTTCACAGCTACATATAGCCACTGCTGGAAGAGATCCCCAGCTGATGTACAAAGCTGGGCAGTTCATATTTGCTCTTATAAAACTTGAAACTAGGTAGGAGAAACTAACAATTTAAATATAGTGCAGCTGCAGGAAACCTACATGAAATTTTTTCAGTATTGCTGGAAGTTTGAATGTCTAAAGAAGCCCAGGAAGGAGTGAAAATACGATATTCTTTTACTGAAATTCTGAGAGGAGAAGGGCCAAATCTAGAACAAAAAAATAAGGAGGGAGGAAGCAACGAAGTGTTCATCTTTCCTGTAGTTTGGATGATTAAAAAAAAAAATGGGAGGACTGGAATGGGTGTTAAGAAATTATTTCAGATAATCGTCATTTGTTTGTTCAAGTCTTTTGTGCAGTTAGAGTTCATGAAATTTCAGCGCATTTCTGTGACCTGTTTCAGCATTGTTTTGTATTCGTATTGTGCTCACAGTGGCAATGCCATGCTTACAGCTGTGTAACAGAAGGCTCAGCACATTTTGTCTTGTCTGTTTTTCTGTGTTCCGTGGTGTTTGCTTCTCACTCATCCCCTTTGTCCTTTACTGTTTTCCTGTTATATGTGTTTCTATATAACAGTATCTGGGTAGAGAATAAGGACTTGACAGAAAACAATGGTAGAGAAAACAGTAAAAAATACATATTAAAAATTACTAAAATGTTAATATTATGTGATATCATGAAGAAAAAAGTGAGATACTAATGAACAAAAGCAAGAAAACTAGGCGTTACAATGTCTGCTACTCATGTCTTGTCCTAAAGTATTAAGTGCTAGCTACATTCAGAATCAATATTTGATCTTAACCATATATTTGCAACATCTTTTGCTTCGTTGTGCTTTTTAGTGTGAGCTTCTGTCATTGTGAGCAAAACTTCGTCTGTGTATTTAAGATCCTTCATTGCTCCAGAATCCTTACCTGTGTTAACGATAGTGCTGCCCACCTCTTAACATCCGTTTCTACGGGTGTACGCAATGGAAAGATAGCTATATACAGTGCTACAGTGCCCTCTACTGACAAGAACCACAATCTTACAAAAGCAAATCTATAACCCAAATTCTGGGCTCAAATGAAACGGGTGTCCCAAAATACAGAGCTGACTCCACAGTATAATCTGTCCCAGAAAAGTCATCAAATGCTTTTTTTTCTGATGACAGTGCTCAAAACAGGCGATCCTTTCCCAAGTGAGCAGAGTAAGACAGAGCGATCTGAAAGAGCCTGTGCAGGATCGTGATAGGTCTGTGTTTATGGGTGCTTACAACCTGCAAAGATGCCCAGATTCACTGGTTGGGCACTTCAAATCAAGAAACCAAGAAAGGGCAAGAGTCTGATCTCTGTTCAGTACATTACTCCTTTTTATTTTTCTTTTTTCTTGGGTTTTGTGGTTTTTTTTTTTTTTTTTTTTTTGTATGACTTCATGGTCAGCATGGTGTAACTCCCAGAGTGGAAAGCAAAAAGCCCTACCTGACCTTGAGAGCTGTAGGAGCACTCTGGTGCACTCTGCAAATTGAGGGCAGCAGCAGCAGAGACTACTGCCCCACTGAGCGCAGGTAGGGAGGAAAGAGTAACCGATCAAAAGCTCTACACACTGGAAGTATTTCAGAACAAAGCTGGCATCAACAGCTTGAAGGAAGAATTTTAGGTGGAGGGATAAGGGCTTGTGTAATGGCATTTGTGTACTCTCTTAGAATATATCAGGCTCATTTCTTTCCTGTGTCTGCTTGCCCCTATCAACATACTTATCTTGGAAGGTATTAAAAGTCATTTTTTCCCCTCAGGAATGAGACACCTCAGGGCTCCCACTGCCTTGCGTCTGCTCGGCAGATCATTATTCAAATGGCTGCGTAACTGCGCGGTCAGTGGTAGCTCAGCTCCAGAGGTTATGGGAGAGATTTCAGTTGTGTGGTGCTTTCTGTGGAAGCTGGCTGTGAAAGCTGGTTATACTTACCAAGGCAGCTTTCTACATAACTGCTGGGGTAAACTGTTTCAGGGTATTTGCACGCTGACGTGCTCTTTGATTGTAAGGCAACAGCTGTGCTGGTAGAGAAAAGAGGGGAAGGGATGGAGGGAGAAGCACGGCCCCTTATCTTGTGGGAGGAGTTTGAAAATCTTAAACTGGAGTGCTGAGAGAAGAGCCAAGAGCTGCTGCAACCCAGCGACTGGATGTCCAGGCTCAACGCTGCCAAAAATGCACACCATTTGTTAGGACATTCCTATTTTACAAGGACAGCAAACTTCCCGGCATAAAGTGTTTCTCATTGTTCATAACTGTTTCAGTGTGGGATCCATGAATGTTTCTCAACACTGTAGACCTAGAAGTCAAAATTAAATTTCTATTTTCTTCAGTCAAAGTTCTGAATGACTTCACTAGGGATTGGGTCCCACAAACTGCCTAAATTCTACAGCGAGTTGGTCGGCGTTGAAGCTGACCTGCCTGTATGCCTGTGCTCATTTATTCAATTGATGCTGCTGTCTGCATAATCCTTATGAAGCATAAATGAATCATTAATACAGAAATTGGTGTTATTTTCAAGATCCTGTTCTAGCTTAGTGTTTTCAGGACAGCACCAGGTTGGCAACACAGCAAGATAAGAATGCAACTTCAGGTTAAATAGCCAACTCTCTGTAGCACCATCACACCTGAACAGAACCAGTGTTGGACGTGATTTTTGGAAGGGATTTCCAGTAGCGTTTGAGGAGGATCATGGGTCAGACTGTAACCTGTTTTAAAGATTTTCTGCACTAACTTCATTGGAATTAAAGAAGAGAATGGGACCCATCAGTACAAAATACCATTGAAGTCCTACAAGTATTTGCTGGTTTCCACTTAAAAAAAAAAGCCGGCTTCCCTCTGTAGAAGATTCATGGTCGAATCTGTTGGGTAAATGCTAGAAAAGTGTGATAAAAAGTGTGATATGAGGATGATCTCCTCAAGAATTACACGTAGACATGGAAAAATCTTTCAGCAAAGCTCTGTATATTTTAAATTAACTATTTTACTGAAAGCTAGTGCTTTCTTGTAGTGCAGACACGCTCTCTGTGTCTGTATGCCTCTGCTTATTCGTTCAATTGACGTGGCTGTCTGCATAATCTTCATGAAGCATAAAGCACAGTGCGTGACAAAGCAGCTTATCTAGATGTCATTTGATGTTTGTAATGGCAATGAACCTTCCATGTAATTTCCACATATGCTACTCTGAAGTAGTTTATGGTTACTGTCACTCATGGTACTGTTGTGTGTGGATATGAAGGTCCACAAAGCGGTAGGTTAAACGTGGTTAATCCAAGTACTGTAAAAAATAGATGCTTAGAAATGTTCTTAATGTTTGAGTGTTTTTTAAGGGATTATTTCTCTGGTTGTCTTTTACTTCATTACATATTTTACGAAAAAGGGGATATACAATGTTTTTTAATTATTCTTCTTTCAGCAGTAATTCCTTAAAATAGCATCTTGTGGTCCATATAATTTATGTTCTCAATCAAATATGAGTCTGTATCAGATGGATTTATTTAACTTATAACAAAGAAATAATCCCTTCTCCAACAACTGGCCCACTGAAATCCAGAAGATTTCTGCCATTGACTTGGGCAAGATAGATTTTTATCTTAGGATCCCATATTTCATAAATGCACTTGCGTAACAAACAGAATTGTCCTGGGAGCTATGTACAAAGAGAAAAATTGCATTCACTTGTATTTTTGGAAACCATTTTACCTCTTGTAAATAACAATGACACAACTAACTGAGAAAGAGGCGTGGCTAGGTCCTTTGAGCAGATGATTTCCTGCTATTCCTGAAAAGTTTGATGCAAGAACTTGCAGCTGGAAACACATCCACAGAAAGTGATTTTGAGATTAGCAAATGGGATAGTTTGCACTCAACAGTGTGGAGAAGAGTCCTGCTCCAGCCCTCCAAGACGTGAGTTTCACTCCT